GCCTCCTCTCTCTCCTGGGAGCAGTCCAGTGCTTACCTGACAGCACCCCCCAGGGAGAGTTCCGTCAGAAACACAGGAATTGCTCAAAAAGTCCAGGATGACACTGCCCCGTCTCCTTTTTCAGGGCTCTCCCTCGTGGAGTCTCCCATGACAACGCTGCCTTCGGGATGGGACCGCCCCCTCAGGGACCCTTCAGCTCACAGATGGATGAGGTGCCCAGAGCTCCTATCGAAGCCTCATCTCTCTGCTCCACTCTTGTCTAGTCACAGGAACCGTTTTGAATACCTGCTTACCACGCTACCTTTTCTCCTTTTCCCTTTCTCCCTTCGTCTCCAGCCCTGTCCCTAGACACTGACTGCTGGCCCCGCCAGGACTCAACCTCACCTCTGCAGGACTTGGTGGCCCTCCTCACCCCTCTCTCCCTTCTTCCTCCATGCACCCCCTGCTGTCCCTCCTTCCAGGCCAGGCCCACAGGCCCATAGGCTCTCTACAGTAGAGTCACCATCATCCCCCTACCCCACTAGCCCTTAGCACTCCCTGCCCCAGGCCCAATGGACAAGATCACCCACGAGCCTCTTAGACTGTCCCAGGCTGCTAACCAAAGAGGTGGTAGTTTTGAACCTCTTCTTCCTAAAAGATTGACAGCCTGGTCTCCTCTGGTTCTGAACCTTCCTGAATCGGGTGACCCCTGTGAAAGAGTTGTTCCACCCCCAAAGGGGTCACGACCCACAGGTGGAGAACCGCTGGTCTACAGGGTCACAATGAGTCAGAGTCATCTCAGGGGTAGTTTGGGTTTTAATTTTTCCTTTTAAAAAAAATCATTTTATTGGGGGCTCGTACAGCTCTTATCACAATCCATCCATCCCTTGTGTCAAGCACATTTGTACATAGGTTGCCATCATCATTCTCAAAGCACTTTCTTTCTACTTGAGCCCTTGGTATCAGCTCATTTTCCCCCTCCCTCCCACATGACCCTTGATAATTTATAAATTATTATTATTTTTTCATGTCTTACACTGACTGCTGTCTCCCTTCACCCACTTTTCTGTTGTCTGTCCCCTTAGGAAGGGGTTATATATTGATCACGATGATCAATTCCACCTTTCTCCCACCACCTTCCCTTTATGCTCCTGGTATCACTACTTTCATGATTGATCCTGAGGGATTTATCTGTCCTGGATTCCCTGTGTTTCCAGCTCTTATCTGTACCCGTGCACAGCACTGATGAAACATACAACTTTCCTCTAGTTCTTTAATGCTACCACCACCACCACCCCTATCATGACCCCAATTCTACCTCACAAATCCAGCTAGACCAGAGTCTGGGTTTTTCTGTCGGGTCGGGTATAGTCCAGGGCAGGAAGAAGGACAGAGGCCGGTGCATGGGTCCTCATCAAGGGGCGACAAGCAGGGAGGGGCAGGAATCTGGACTGGAGGATGCTGCTTTAGCAGGCGGTCAGGGAAGGCTGCTCAGAGGAGGTGACATGTACTTAGAGGTTTGAATGAAATTCAGAAAAGGGCCACAGACACTCTTGGAGGGGGAGTGCTCCCGGCCAAGGCAAGTGACAAGCAGGGCTTTGGGGAGAGACCAGGGGGCCTCTGGGGCTTGGGCAGGGGAAGGGGGAGAGGTAGCACTCTCCTGGGGACCAGCAGTGCTGGGCTGGGGGAAGGGAGTGCGCCCCCTCAACCCCCCACCCCTGCAGGACCTTGTGACTTCCACATGCCACCAGCTAGGTCTCTCAGCCCATCAGTGCAGGCTGCAAAGAGAGCAGCCCAGGGTGCCTGGGAGACAGCAGCCCCTGAGAACAGCCCTCCACCACGACAGATAGACGCTGGGGTACAGCTCCGCCAGCCCCCTCACCTCTCTGGTGAGCCAGAGTTGTCCCCAGTGCAATGGGAGGCCCCTGTTGTCTATGGTGCGATAGCTGGCTAGGTACCGAAGCAACCACTACCATCCAGTTAACTCCAACCCCGAGGGTTTCCGAGACTGTAAATCGGTCTGAGGAGCAGACAGCCTCCCAGTTCTCCTGCAGTGTGGCTGGTGGATCTGAACTACCAACGTTGCTGTTAGCAGTCCAACAGTTAGCCCACAGCACCACGGGGCTCCTTCAGCTGGCCAGACACACTCCTTTTACTGGCTGCCTTCCCTGCCCTGCCTCCCTTCCCTACTCTCCTCGCAGAGTTCTCAGGGACCCCCGCCTGACCACTTCCCTGTCTCAGTGCCCATTCCCAGGGAGGCCAAACAGAGCCACCACTCCAGACTGCGAGGCCAGAGAGGGAGCTGGTTGGGGAGACAGACCCCCCTGTCCTTTCTGCTCTGGATACAACTCTCTCCTAGAGACTGGCCGGTCCTCACTCAGTGGGCTCCCCTGTGAGGCAAGCAGAGAACACTCTTGGCTGCTAACCGAAAAGTCAGTTGGAGGTTTTAGGTGCCTTTGAAGAAAGACCCGGTCATCTACTTCTCAACAATCAGCCGCTGCAAACACAGGGGGCACAGCCCACGCGACTCTCCTGGGCTTGCCGGGAGAGGGACCTGTTGGTGCCTGAGAGCAGGACCCACGTCAGCCTCTCTCTGTGGCCCACGCACCTGGGATATCATCCATCCCCAGGATGCTTGCCTGGTGGGACAGCCCTTCAGTGGCACTGAGGGGCAATGGATCCAGCTGGGCAGAACGTTTCTGGCCATGGCTGAGAGCGGAGAGAGACAAAAGGTCTGGGTTCTGTTCAGACAGGACGCTCTGCCCAACAGATGCCCCTGAGACAACAAGAGTGCACAGAATCCGTTCCCCAAGATGACGGAATCACAGCTCCCCCCTCTCTCCCCACTTTACCCACCCCATGCTGCACCGAAGCTGAGGGCCTGTTACTGGATTGGAGAATTCTGCCTTTCAATTGCAGCCCTCCGCCTGGCCGCGCAGCTCCGGACTACAGCCGTGAACAAGCAGCAGATACCATGCCTTCCTGGAGCTGATGATCTCGAGGGGTCGCAAAAACAAACAAGCCAGCCAGACACACTACTATCAAGCCGGGTCAGACTCCTAAGTGCTCTGTGGGAGAGAACGGAGCGCCCTTGCGGGCTCCGGAGACGATCCACCTTTAGACAGCCTCATCCTTCTCCCTCGGAGCCCCTGATGGGTTTGAACCCCCAACCTAGAGTTAGCAGCCCAGTGCTTAACCTGCTGTGCCACCAAGGTTCCTTCTAGCAGGGTTAGACAAAAGGCAAGATAAATAAGTGGATGATAAGAGTGTTAGAATGTGACCAGGGATCGCAGGAACATCGGTCAGAGAATGGGAGGGGAAAGGAGGGTTGGTGCTGGGCTGGGCATGTTGCTACCTTAAACTACTTACACAAGTCACACCTGGGAGGGAGCCTGGGGCAGAGGAAACAGCCAGTGCAAAGGCCCTGAGGCTGAGGTCCGCTGCCCAGTGAGGACCCAGCAGAGGGCTGTATGGCTGAAGGGAGAAGGGTGGGCGGTCAGGGGGAGATGGGAAGAGACAAGTGACATGGGCCTTGTCAGTCAGAAGGAGTCCTCGGAGAGAGACAGGAGCCCCCAGTGGAGGGTCAAGGAGAACCCCAGGGGCCAAGCAGGGAGGAGTCTCAGGGCAGCACCGGGGAAGGACTGCTTTGGGGAAGCTACCGGTAGGAGCTCCATTTTGGAGAGTCCCAGCCTTTTAGGAGCCAAATGGAGGTGTCCCTTTCACGCCCCCCTCCTGGACTGGGGGCATCCTGTGGGGAGGCATGGGCCACTCACTGACGGGGACTCAACCTGGCCTCCAGGCAGGTGCCTAGGGCAGGAGAGGGGGAGAGGAGAGACAGAGCTGAGTGAGACCAGAGAGGAGCAGGGCAGACACAGAATGGAAGGGGGTGGGAGAGGGGGTTTGACTTAAGAGAAGGCAGAGCCTGGGGAAGGGGGGCAAGGGCCAGGGAGGAGCCCCTCCCAGCATTTGCTAGAAGACCTGCTGCTGGCTTGGGGGGAGAGGATGACCGGTGACTGATGGAGGTGGGACAGGGCAAATGTTGGTGCCAGCCCCCAGGCCCTGGTGAGAAGAGAACCCCCTGCGCCCCCCCACCCACCCATCCCCACCCATCCCCACCCCTTCCCCCTCTCCCACCCCAACCCCAGCCCCAGGAAGAGAGATCAGCCCCTGGTCCCAGGATCTGAGAAATTGTGTGTGGGCTGCAGGTTCCCGGGTCAGATCCACAGGGACACGCTGTTCCAGTCAACCTGGAGGGAGACCTGTCCTCTCACCTCCGGGCCCAGGTCAGGCCTCGACCTCCATCAGGGGCAAACCTGGGGCAAGCGCACCCAGGAACCACAGCCTGCTGCTGTTCCCTCTGGCCCCTCCTCCCCGTGCCCCCCCCAGGCAGGGCGCCCCAGTTCCTCCCCAGCGCCCCAGCCCCACCCCCTCCCCCTCCCGACAGCGCCTCCGCAGTGCCCGCTGCCCAGCTCCCCGGCAGGCAGCGGAGTCAGGCCCAGGAGCAATGCAGCAGAGGGACAGAGGGAGGAGGGAGGGCCACCGCACCCGGCCAGATCCGGAGCCTTCTCCCCTGGACCACAGGGTGCAGGCCCCGGGGGCGGAGGACGGGGTCCTTTGGGAGACCAGCGAGAGCAGAGGGGGAGGACCTGAACCTGGGGGAAGGGGAGAAAGATGCCTTCTCCCTGACCAGGGCGCTATACACGGAGGCTGCGGGGGCGGGCGGGGGGGCGGACACACGACACCCACCTTCTTCCAGCCCTCATCCTCTCTAGCCTCAGCCTGGGAGGGGCAGCGGCTACCTGGAGGCCCCAGCCCCCTTGGCTCACTCCCAGAGCGAAGGGGCGTCGCACCTGTGGCAGCAGTGGTAGGAGAGGGAGCAGGGGGTCCGCTGGGATGCAGACCCCTCCCCACTCTGGCCCGCTGGCCCAGGCCCTCAGGTCTGTACAGGTTAATGGGGTGGGGCTGCAAGCGGGGCAGCCCCTGGTCCCCGTCTTCCAGCTACCCCCATGGGAGATGCCTACCTGGGCCTGTCTGGGCCCCAAGCTGGTGGCAGGTAGGAGCTCACCGTCCCCGCTGGGCCAGGCCAGGGCCGGAGGGACTGGCTGTCCTTCTCCGTGGTGGCAGGAGCGACAGGGGCCTGGCGCCCGGCCCCTAGGCTCTGACCTCTTGGGCTCCCTCCACCGTTCGCTGGCTCAGGCGGCGGCGGCGGCAGAACGGCAGGAGCAGCTCCCCGCCCCTCCCTCCCACCCCGCCCGCCTCCTCCCCTGCCTCCTCCCCGCTCCCTCCCCTCGGCCCGCCTCCTGCTCCAGCCACCCACCTCCGTCTGCTCGTTTCTATGGCAACCGGGCTATGCTCCGCTCAGACAGCCTCCCTCCAGAGCGCGCAGAGGGGTTCACGCCATCTCCGGGGACCTGGCGCCCGCATGGGTGTGCACACCTCACGTGCACAGAGATGCTGGTGGGCACACAGGCTCACTGCCCGCTCTCCCGCCTACCCACGATCCAGCCTGTCCAGGCACCTCCCTTCCCAGCCCCTTCCCGGGGGTCCATCCCGGTCCGCCACTTGGTTGTAAGACAGCCCTGTGTAGTCATCAGTCATTGTCTCCTCATTGGTCGAATTTGTGGTAGGAGTCTTTTCTGGCTGGGCTGAGTGGGAAGACCACACCTGGGATCTCCACATCTTAACCAGGTCCCACACGCCTATCTTACAGATCAGCAACGGAGGTCCATGGGAGTAAAACAGGCCACCTGAGCAGGGCAAGGGTCATGTTTTCAGCAGCGAGGCCTAGTGGCTCCCAATTCTGGTGCCTTCCCACGCATCCAGGCTGGCATCCAGGCTGGCACACGTGTGCACCCAACAACACCCGTACCAGCATGCATCTGCACACTTGCATTTCCACAAGGCGTGTATCTACTGATACATGTCTGTGTACATGTCAGTGACGCGCATGCTAGCCGTGTAAGGGATCTCAATGTAGACACATCTTTCAGACATAGGCACACACACCTGCATGGATACAGAACATACCACACACAAATCCTTCTTATACAAAATCACAGCCCTTAACCCTAGTCTCCAAGGGGGGGGGGGGCTCCATGACAGGAGAAAAAATGTCAATCTCCCAGGGGACTGAACCATGAGCAGCCTCGCCAAGACAGGATTTGACTGTCAGGTCTGCCCACCAAAGGAGGAGGGATCTGCCCAGGGCAGTGTGTCTGCAGCCGGAGGGCGGTGAGTGCGCAGAGGCCCACCCACCTCCTCCACTCTGCCTCCCCTCATTCTGGGGCTCCTCTGGCACTTGGAGGGGCACTTATGGGTCCCCCTGGGTCTAGGTGATGGGGTAGGAAACTTTTTTCTGCCAAGGGTCATTTGGATATTTATAACATCACTCACGGGTCAAATATTTAAATCACCCCTAATGTGACAGCTAGGAGCCCTGATAGCATAGTGGTTACACACATTGGGCTGCTACCCCAAGGTGAGCGGCTCAAAACCACTGCCTGCTCCACAGGAGGAAGAAGGGGCTTTCTACTCCCATAAAGATTCACAGCCTTGGAAACCCACAGGGGCAGGTCTCCCCTGTCCGATAGGGTGGCCGTCAGTCGGACACAACGTGATGGCAGGGAGGGGAGTTTAGCACACTGGCTGGACTGCTTCTCCTGGGTGGGGCTTGTGTTGTTAGCTGGTATGGTGGCTTTACATCCTGCGGGCCAGCTGTTCCCTGGCCCTGGTCTAGTGTCTCTTGCCCATCGGCATCCACCTCCTGCCGGGTGATGGCCCATTCCTGGCTCTTGGGGTTTGAACCAGAGTAAATCGCGTTGCTGTTAGTGCCCGCGAGCTGCTTTTGACTCATCTGGGCCCGTGTGACAGTGCAGCCCTGCCCAGTAGGGTTTTAAGGAAGCAGATGGACAAGACTTTCTCCCTTCAGCCCCCTCAAACCTCACACTCCTGCCAAGAGCAGACGCCGACTCACCAAGACCTCGCAGGACAGGCTAGACCTGCCCCGGTGGGTTTCCGAGACTGTAACTCTGCTACAGGAACAGCAAGCGTCCTCTTTCTCCTGTGGAGTGACTGGTGGTTTGGAATTGCTGACCTTTCGGTTAGCAGCCCAACAAGTCACCGCTACGCCAACGGGGTCTGCCCATCTTCAGTTTGCCAGCTGAGCGCTTCCCCACTGGACCACCAGGGCTCCTCTGAAGCCAGTCCTTTAAAATGTCTTACTACATAGGTTCCCTGTATCAGTATTGAAAAGAGAGTCCTGTCCTCTAGAGGATATTTTGGATATCAGTCAACTCTGCCCCCTAAGGAGGGACAATATGCAGCAGGTATGGGGGCCGGAGGCAGAAGGGCCTGAGCCTAGCTCTCGATGCAAACAGCCCCCGGAACATGCTGTCCCCAGCCCCCATACTACTAGAAGACCTCAGGCAAGGGTCACTGCACCCCTGAGCCTTAGGGGCCTCTTGGGGACCCCCCACACACCCTAGAGAGAATATCCGGCTGAAGAGAACCCGGAACACATCGACAAGTTGAACCTGTTAATAACGATCTCATCCGTACTTCATCACATCTAATTGGTCTCCATCACCAATTAAACTAATTAAGAAATGGTATGAAACATCCCAATATCAGAGATGTGACCATGTGAGGGTGGGGGTGGGGTGGGGAATCTTGGAATAGAAGAAATGGGGCATATCACTTATTCAGCAGATACCGACCAGGTGTCTACACATGCCAGGGGCTGTTTGAGGGGCTGGGAAACTGCCCGGAGACTAGCAGAGCAAGTCCCTGGGCCTACTGAGTCCCTGCCCCTGCTCTCGGGCCTCCCTGCAGCCTGTGGCTCCGGCGGTCACAGCAGCCCGAGTAACCAGTTAGAAAATGGAGGTGCTCAGAGATGAATTTGCCCAAGAGGACAGAGCCAAGCTCTGGCCGAGCTTGGGGAGAAAGCTGAGTTTCTCCAATGCTCCACACGGGTCATGCCCAAGAGGATCTGACTGGAAAGGCACCCGGCTTCTAGACGTTTCGTGGCAAAGTTTGCTTCTTCTCATCTTCAGATCATGGCAGGCGTACATGCAGTGCTGGTCAGGGGGTGGACACAGAGGAGGCCCCCTCCCCCGCCGAACTGACCTCCCTGCTGGAGTCCAGCCTGACCTTCTTCAGGCCAGAAGCCTGGTGTGGGCTGCCCCCAGACCCGGGGGTCTGGGTAGAGAGTCAGGTAGGGGCCACGACCCGGGGAGTGGGGGTGCCTGGCACCTAAGAGCAGAGGCTCCTGGGATATTGAGGCGGCCTCAGCAGAGGGTGGAGAGGGATTGAGTTCCATGCTCTGTAAGCAGAGCCCCCTGCCCGCCTGCGGGCCCCCAGCCCCAGATCATCTTTCTCCTAAAGGACTGGCTGCCTCGCTGCTGGTCCAGGGACACCCCAGCCAGCCGCCCCCGCCCCTCCGTCATCCTGATCTGGCCCCATCTGCTGCTGGTGGACTCCCGAGTCCTGCCTTCCCACACTCACAGGTCTCAGACATGCCCTGTGGGCGAAGTGACCCCCTCAGTCGCCCCCTTCTCACCCCCCTCCTTCTCCAGCCTGGAGAGCAACTGCCGCCACCCACATCCATTGTTAGCCTGACCCAGGCCCATCTGCTTCCTGGAAGGCCCCTGAGTTGCCCACCTGCAGGCCTCTGCACCCCCATCTGCAGATCACAGATCCTGTACACACACACACACACACACACACACACACACACACATAGCCTGGCCTCCGTCCTTCTTCCTGGACTTTATCCAAGCTCAGGTCCTGCAGGCAGAAGCAGCCTACAGCCCAGGAAGGGGGTGTCACCCAGGCCACAGAGCAGCCACCTTCCTCGCCCCAGGAAAAGCCAATGCCTTCTGTCAGCCCCTCTGCACCCAGCCCCCAAAGCTTTCAGTGCCCTCCCCCCAGCTTAGCAGTTATCCCACGTGTTCTCCAGGGCCAGAGCAAATGCAATCAGGGCTTATTAGCTGCTGCTTTGCATCTCATCTGCATAACGTGCCCGTGAATGTTAAAATGCCCAGAATCCCACAGACCCCTGAAACGGCCGGCAGGGTTGGCCAACTCTGGAGAAATAAAATGGATACTGCTCCTTGATGACCCTGGAGGGGGAGCCAGGCCTGTGAGGGGGCACTGGGGATTGGGGGGGCAGGAAGAGGGAGGAACCAGCAGCTACAACTTTGAGCTTCCGACTCCGAAAGCAGCCAGGGCTGCTTGAAGCCAGGCGCTGGGCTGGGCTTGCACCCTTCGCTCCCTTGTTGTTCACAGGAGCCACTTCGTAAGGGCAGAGACCAAGGCTCAGAGAGGTGGAAGCCTGGCCACTCACAGGGAGGCCCGTGGATCCGCAGCTTCGGCGTCACCAAGGAGTGGTAAAGACGCAGGGTCTCAGGTCCCACCGCCGGCTTCCCGAATCAGAACCTGCGTTCTAACAAGCTCCCAGGAGCTCAGAGTGTGAGAAGCCCTGAGTTCAGGGACTGGTCCCATATACCGCACAGCTGGAAGACGAAACAATCAAGGAAACAGAGGAGACCAAACCCCACGTGAGTGTCTTGAACACCTTTGTGGGTTTCTTGAGCACCTACTGTATGCAGCACGGCTCCAGGCACCGGGACCGCCAGGGAACCAGACAGACAACACCATGGCCTCATGGTGCTTCAAGCTTTTATTGTATTACAGATGATACAATAATAATTATAATGAATATGACTTTAAAGAGTGGTGGATGCCATCAAGAAAAGTACCATGGGGTAAGGAGAAGCAGAGTGTGAGTGGGCACCATGTCAGAATCCCTCGTTGGAGAGGTGATATTTGAACAGAGATCTAAATAAAAGGCCAGAGGGAAGGGTCTGACAATTGGGGGGAGAGTGGGTTGGGCAGAACTAACAGTATAGGTAAATGCCCAGAGGGAGGAGTAAGCAAAGCACATTGGAGGCACCCCAAGATGGAAAGAATGTATTTGATGCATGGGTGGGTGGATGGATGGATAGACAGACAGATGAATGTATAGGAGGGATGGATGGATGGAGGGATGGATGGGTGGGTGGGTGGATGAATGGGTGGATGGATGGATGGATGGATGGATGGAGGGATGGATGGATGGATGGATGGGTGGATGGATGGATGGGTGGGTGGGTGGAGGGAGGGATGGATGGAT